CGTTGCTTCAAAACAAGATTTTCAATATTATGTCATATTTGTGGATGATTTTACTCGTTTTACATGGATATTCCCTATGCGATACAAATATGACATGGCAAATATTTTCTTTAATTTTAAAACTCAGATTGAAAAGTATACTTCTAAACAAACTAAGTGTTTGCGCATTGACGACGGAGGTGAATACCTTAGTCATATGTTCACAAATTTTCTTAGAACTCATGGTATCACACACCAATTATCTTGCCCCTATACTTCGAAACAGAACGGAGTGGCAGAAAGTAAACATTGTCACATAATTGAGACTACTCGGTCTCTTCTCCACACCGCTAGCGTTCCTTACACTAACTGGCCTGAAGCTGTGTTAACGACAGTTTATCTTATCAATCGCATGACCTAAACTAACACCAACAATATTTCTCCATTGGAACTCCTTCACCACACGAAGCCTAATTACAATCACCTACGTAGCTTCGGGTGCGCCTGCTTTCCGCTTATTCCCTCTCATGCCCGTCATAAACTTCAACCAAAATCTCACTTATGTGTTTTTATTGGATACTCTGATGCTCATAAAGGCTACAAATGCCTAGATCTATCCACAAATAAAGTTATTATCTCTCGTCACCTTAAATTTAATGAGCAACATTTTCCTTTCTCCACTCATACATTGCAAAACTCCCCCAACTCATCACATGTCTCACCACATCTATTAACACCGGTATCTCAGCTTACGTCTTAGCCCAGCAAGTCTCAGCTCTCCAGTCCATCTCAATCTACTATTTTACCTCATCAGCAACCAATTCACAATACTGATTCCAAGCCGTCTCCCAGACCTAATTATTCCACAAACAATACTCATAACCAGTCAACCGAGACCAATGTTAACAAACATCCTATGATAACTCGTAGTCGAACTGGCTCCTTGAAACCTACGGTGTGGCTCAATCTGCTACACCAGCAAACGACGAACTCCATAAAAACTGATCCAACCTCTTACTCTGATGCTGTCAGACATGCAGAATGGCATAATGCCATGGCTGATGAATTTCTTGCTCTAGAAAACAAGGTACTTGAAGTCTTGTTCCTCATCCCAACTCTCTAGTCTTAGGTTGCTAATGGACTTATCGCACTAAACTCCATGCGGACGGATCAATAGCAAAATACAAAGCTCGTTTGGTTGCGCTAGGAAATAATCAAGAATTTGGCCTTGATTATAACAAAACCTTCAGCCCAGTAGCTAAATTACCAGCCATTCATATACTCTCACAATTGCTTTATATCACAATTGGCAGGTTCATCAGTTGGATGTTGCAAATGCGTTTCTTCACAATAATCTAACAAAGACTGTATATATGAAACAACACAAGGGATTCAAAGATCCCAACTATTCGAACCACGTTTGTCTTCTTCAAAAAGCTCTTTACGGTCTCAAACAAGCTCCAAGACAGTGGTACAATACGTTCACGTCATACTTACTCTCCCTGGGGTTTGCAAACAGTCTCTCTGACCCATCTCTTTTTATATTTAGCAAATCTAATATTTGGTTATTTCTACTAATTTACATTGATGACATACTATTCAATGGAAATAACTCTACTATGATTTACAAAATTCTTGAACAGCTCAATTCCAAATTTGCAATGAAACATTTGGGAGATATGCATAATTTTCTTGGCATTCAGATTGATCGAACACCACAACAATATTTTCTATCCCAACCGAAATATGCTTCATCAATTATGGAACTTGCACACATTACACAATGCAACACCATCAACAACCCAACCTGTACCAAGATCCCGCGAGACCTTCAATCGGACAAAGTTCTATCTGATCCAAGACTCTACAAGAAAATTACGTGCTCGCTTCAGTATCTCAACCTCACGCGGCCGGACATTGCATATAGTGTCAACGTCCTATCTCAGCACATGCACAATCCATTACCACAACATATCTTCCTTCTCAAACGACTCCTACGATACATAAAATGTACCCTTACTTTTGGCATACCCATTACAAAAACTAACTTGCACATTACCTCTTTTTCAGACGCGGATTGGGTAGGCGACTCCATCTCTAGGAAATCCACTTCCGGCAATTGTTCTTTCTTGGGGGATACATTAATCTCATGGATTGTCAAAAAGCAGCATACAGTGGCTCGCTCCTCCACTGAATCAGAATATCGGGCCTTAGCCGCACTCACTGCCGATGTCATATGGCTTCGCAAACTTCTTGCCGAGTTCGAAGTACCTCAGATCCAACCTACATATATCTATTGTCACAACATCTCTGCAATTTCTCTAGCCATAACCCAGTCTTTCATGCTTGCACCAAACACATAAAAAAAGATCAAAGATTTATTCGTGATCACATCTAGCATAAGAACATTTGTATCTTCCCAATCAACACCATAGACGAACTAGCAGACATCTTTACAAAACCTTTATTTACTCCAATATTTCATACACTCCGGCTCAAACTGACAGTTATGGATAAATCATCAGTTTACGGGGGACTATTAGTAGATAAAACAAATGTATTAATTAGCAAAGAATGAGGTGTCTCATTGCTATTGGCTAGTCTATGTAATACTGCTTTACAAAGTCTATATATAAATTGACTACTGTACATGGTAGATATTGTACTGTTCTCTTAATTTTTATTAATAGAAGTTTCTGTTAAAATAAAAAAAAAAAAAAAAAAAACTGTATATGGAAGTTTTTACAAATAAAGTGGGTATTATGAAGGATGGTTATATAATTGGACATCTATTCATATTCTACTAAGCATATGATAGCTCTCATCTTTTTGTTAATATTTTATTTTGTAGATCATAATTCTTTTCTTTCTTCTTTTTTGTGAATGATGTTTATCTTTCTTTCTTTAATTTTTTTTTTTTCCTTTTTGGATGTTCGCCGAGCCGAAGTCACCTCCGATCGCGGCACCCGCTGCCTGCCACCGAGTCCGCCTCTTTCCGTTTCTTTAGACAAGAAACTCGCCTCTGCCTCCTCCACCTTGAGTATAATATATAGATAATTAAAATTATATTAATTTGAAAATAAATTTAAAGGCTTTAATTCTTATCATGACTATTTTTTGATCAGGATAATCTAGGATTATAATTTTCTAACTTTATATATTTCTTTTAAAAAAATGGAAGGTTCTTTATCTAAAAATGAAAATAAAACATTTTTAATATGATAATGAAAATTAATAATAATAAAATTATTAATATTAATATTAAGAAGTTGGGAATGTTCTCACAGACGGCGCCAAACTATTACGGGCTGAGAAATTCACGACGGTAGAGTAAAAAAGTTTTACGTTCTACCAATGCACAAAAATTCAGCGCACAAATAGGAACTTGAAGAGACAAAATGACACCATAGTTTTTAAATTGAAAACCATAAAAAGGGAAAACCCACATGGCCTCGCCCAATTAAAAGGATTCAACTATTATTGAAATGAAATGTAGATATTGACCCGTTCTAAAATTTAAATACATGGAAAGCACAATATGTTGAGGATTTTGCCAAACTCTAGACAAGTGCATAGGATCTTGAATGGATAGTGGATGAAGTTTGTTGGAGATTGGTGATCAGAAAGAGATCTAGTGGGGATCGATGAGCTGGAGGATGTCCGGTGATGCTCGATGGTAAGAAAGAACTTCGGCGATAATCAAGAACTCCCAAATATCCCAAATGAAGTCTAATCTGACGACGATTGTGTTGCAATATTTATTACAATAATATTATGGCAATCGATATGCAGTTGCAATTATTGAGATCCATCAAAATGTTGTCGCAAATAACTTCTGTGGTAATCAAATTTGCGACCTTTTATGTGGCCATTTGAGCGATCACGAATATCAACTTGCTATGAGAAATAAGCTACTTTGAAGCTCTTATGTTGCTCACAAATGTATTGTATTTTTGTGCTAAGTAAAATAGGAATCTTCTTCAATCAAATGATAAGTAATCCATTCATTTCTGCTTAATCTTAACTCAATACAAAACAAATATGATGATTTCATTTGACAAATGATCTAATGACTTAATCAAAAAATATTATCACATCTGAATTTTTTAGGTAAATGAAGAAGAGTTCTTTTGCATTTTCAATGATATGTTACTACTTCGATGACTACTAATGAAGTAACACCCATTTACAAATTATCTAAATATATTTGTTACATACTGGAATATTCGTGGCTGTAAAAAGATAAAGAGATTAACGTCCTAATTTTACACAAAGAACTAGCAAATACATAAATAAGAGAGAAGCGTGAAACTTTTAAGAGACTGAATTTTTTTCCCAGAAAACCCAAGAACAAGAAAAATCATGTGGAAAACTATGGAGTGCAAGAATCATAGATATTTTTTTTCAAGATTTAAGCCTTTTGATGATATAAAAATTAAGTTATTTTTAGCTTGTTGGGGTCGAGACGCTCAATTAAACCTTTAATATGTCAAATTTGAAGTCCATTTGATCCTCCCATTAACATTCTCATTGTCTAATTATATTTGTCAAGTCCTTGATACATGCTCATTCACACTCAACTCGAACACTTTTGATATCATTTAATTCATTTCATTGAGAGATTTAGATTTCATTTGAGAAAGTTTTTACAGCCTCTTAAAATAATTTTTTAATACAAAAATTTAAATTTTATACTAAAAAATTATTTTAAGAACATTAAGAAAACCGTCACTTTAATTTGGTACTAAATTTACTGAAAACAAAATTCAAATTACCCAAAATAAAACTCTTATCCTATAATTTAATTTCCTGCCCCTATACTTCTAACTATTAACCAAAGAGAATATTTGGACCTTAAGCTATTATATAAAGTAAACATATCTATGTTATTTGTCTTAGAGTCCATCTAATCAATTTACAAAATTTTATAATTCATTTTTCTTAATGAGAAAAAAAATAAATAATAGCATAAGAGCCAATAAAATATAAGTTCAATTTAAAAAAAAATTACAAGAAATATATATAGGATAAAAACTCATAACTTCGAAATTAAAAGCAGAGTTAGATCAAAGCACAGACACATCCATTCATTCATTCCTAAAGCAACGCCATCACCACCGTCCATCACATACACCGGTTCCACCTACCGCAAACTCCTTTCACCGTCCAGCACATAGACCAGCAACAACACGAGCAAAGCTGGCTTATTAACTACTCATTATCACCACAGATCACTCTTCATAATGGTTCTTATTGGCCACATTGCAGTGGCGACGAATCTCGCCCTGATCACCGGTGAGCGGGTTGTTCTCAGACAGGAGCGCGATGGCCCGCCCGAAATGCTGGAAGAAGTACTCCTGGCTCTTGGCCATCTTCTTCACGTAGGGCCGGGTTCGCGGGTCATGGGCCAGCTCATGGTCCACCATCAACAGGCCCTTGTTGTCGAGAATGTTGCGGTAGTAGTTGTTGTCCAGAATCATGGGAGTGCCACGATCATTCCTCACGTACTGGACCGCCTTCGGGTCGGGTATCGGGTCATAGCATTTCTTCAGCATGTGCGGGACATGATCCGGGTTTAGTGCCGGGTCGACTTCCGGGTACAGCCGATGCACCAACTTCACACAGTGAGTCCGGCCCACGCTGTGCGACCCTATCAAAATCCACCGACGTTATTTGGCTTCATTTAAGACACTTTCATTTTTTTAGTATTATTTTTCTTGTTGCGATGCTTTGATATTCGTGCAACTGGCTTGATGGGTCCCACATCGAATAAACTTTTGGTTGATTTGGTTCATGATGTGGGTCCCACGACTTATAAAGATTGCTGTCTTACTTCCACTTTGGATGGTGCTTAAGGAAATTTAAATGAATAAAAATAAAATTAGTAGTGCGCTTCACTGAATCATAAAGACTTTAAAAGCTAGCTGAATATTTGTAAGACCAATTAGAATACATCACATTAGTGATATCGAATTTCGGTACCAAATGCCAAGGTAACTAGTGGTACTGAGCCTCATTATCGAGCTGAGTATCAAATAAGAAGATGACGTAGCGTATTCTAATTGATCTCCTGACAGAATTTTAAGCCCTCACAGAATTATTTTTTCTAAACCCAAAGCCCAGCTCAAGCCTATGATCATTCCCCGTCAGTTTCGCCGGCCTACAGCCGGTCCCATTTCAACAACTATTTATTAATTAACATAAATTATTGATTAATTTAATGCATAATTAATTAATTTATTTATTTTATATTATTCTCAATAAAAATAATGGAAAATCGACGGAAATTAAAAAAAAAATGAAATGAAATGAAAATCTCCGAAAATTAAATTGAAATGAACATATTTCTTACTATTCTATCCTGTACAACACTACAACACAAGATGCCAGACGACACTTGTATCCATTTAATAAAGAAGGCGCACATGGCTAAGCGTACGGTTTTGCGAATAAAGCCAAAGAGACTAATAACAATAATAAAGACTAATAATTACAGTTAATTAATAATGCTTAAAGAGAATTTCGATCGCATAATTACAATTAAGCTAGCTGCACATAGTCTTTTCCCGTAATTTTTTACTCAATTAAGTATAATTCTTTCGCTAATTATCAAATTTTCTATGAAAAATGGCAGAAATAGTAATAATTACCGAGAAGTGCGACGACGCCTGCGGCATCAATGCCCATGGCAGCGAACTTATCCAGAACGGAGGAGATGCTCTCATTGTGGTCCGGCAAGTACTGCTCCACCACCGTTGATCTGCTCTTCTTCCCGTCTCTCCTCCCCGTCTTTAATGGAATGAACGGCCCTCCGAGCTTAACAGTTCATCACAAATCGAATTATAATTAAGCATACATGCAATGCAGCTAAGTAAAACTCAAGAGAGAAGATGAATTGATTAATACCGCAACGATGCCATCTCTGCCGGAGAGAACCAATATATCAGCACAGGAGACGACGCCTGGGCACTCCCTCTCCACTGCGTCCTTGATGTCTTCCAGGTACCTGAAATTCCTCATGCCGAAGCTCCGGTCTGTCTCCTTCTCGGAAAGCGTCTTCCTTGTAGAGTCCAGAAGCAAGGAAGCGTCGCAAGACTAATGAAATTTATGTTGATTAGGAGCTGAAATTTCAATGCATTTACAGTTTTTTTTGGGGGAAAAACTGGGTTTCAGGGGATCTGAATGGCTTAAAAATCAACGACTTTGCTTGAGATTTGTGTTGTTTATAAATAGTTTATAGCACTCCTATCTCAAATCAAATCTATAACAGATTTCATGCCCGGACACAAATTTTTCTGTTCATTTGGGATCAAATAGGATTTGTAAAATTTTTGGAGTAGAACTAACAGTTGTGAGGGATTTGCGGCCTCTGATTAGTAGTTGAGATTTGAGAAGTCGGAATAAGGAATGACAAGCATTAAAAAAAAAAAAACTTTTTAGCAAGATTTACGATAAATTTTGGTTGAATCCTCATTAAATCTTGCCAGTAAATCACTCTTAAAATTGGATCTACAGACTTGACTTACTTCTACTTGAGTTAAATCAACTGAAATGGGAAGTAAAATATTCTATATTTTACATGATATAATTAAATTTATCAGCAAAACATCCATACAAATCGTCATCTGCTTCTTCTTCTTCTTGAGAAAAAAAAAAACCACTCTTTTCTAACCTGCACAGCGCAGTCATGGAAGATGTTCCTGAGCCAGGAGAAAGCTGTGTTCTTATGGCGCTTGTAGAGAAGCTTGACCTGTTCTCTGATTATGTCCTCCGCCTGAGGGCAGGACTCCTTGTAGAAATCCATCATAAGACCAGAGGAGCTTTCGCCATTCCCAACAGCTGAGAGAACACATACAACGAGCAAGAACAAACACAAGCAGGAAGAAGAAGGAGCCATCTCAACTTTTTTACTTACACTCGTTTCTCCAGTAGGAGATGGATCTGTGTCCTGTGAGCTTCAGCTATGGCTTATTAGCTTCTTAAATAAAGAAGAGAGGTCCACAGAATAATTAATCCCGCATAAGACAGTGTAGACATTTAATAAAAGTAATAATAATTAGTAAAAGAGAAGGTGGCTGAAGACTGGCACGAGGTAGTAATAAACGTGGCCGGTTGTTGAGGCGTCCCGCCAGGCCGCCATTACTGCTCTGCTTCTATCATGATTTTCTCAGTAAATTTTTTTTTAGTGGTTTTTATATATATAACACTTCAAATTATTATAATTATATGTTTAATATTTAATATTTAAATTTTTATATTTACTAATATACCATCTAAAATCTTTATTTTCATCTCTTCTACCACTCTATTTATGAGTCATGAGAAATACCTATCAGCCTCATTTGCACTTGCGACTCTTTCGTTCGTACGTGATAAATTTCTATCTCTCTTCCCACCTGCTTCATTTATCAATCCTTCAGTCGGCCATTGTCTTCCAAGGAAAATGTCCAGGGAGCTTGCGAGCGACTGTCGCATTCAGACGCTTGTCTTCCACGAGCAATCTTCTTCTACTCGTGTGCATTCCATAGAAAACTGATGGATTAGCGGGAAGGATTAACTGGAATCAAATTAGAAGGGATTTTTACATGTAACATGCATTCCACAGCAATATTGTAAAGTGCATTCCACATATGACAATTATTTATCCACAAAACCAATATTATCATAGACTTGGATTAACTGGAATCCAATACAAAAGCACACAAACGACTTGCAATCGACTCTCACAACATATAATATATTCGAACATGACGAACTTGAGGGAGAAGGCGTGCGAGACGGTCTAAAGCAACGCACACAATGGAGAAGGCGAGATGGTCGAATGCGATGGAGATGGGGTTTGGACGGCGAACACTGTCTCGCTCGACCAAAGGGAAGACAACGCGATGCTGATAGGGTTTTCTAACTGTGCATGCGTGGATAGCTAGAAGAGATGAAAAGATGGGTTTTATGTGTTATATTAGTAAATACAAAAATTTAAGTGTTGAATATGTTTTTATATTTTGTTCTTAATGCATTTTGCATTGACTAAAAAAAAAAAGAATATGTAATTATAATAATTTGAAATATTATGTATGTATTTTTTTTTTTTAATGAGAGAAGAATAACAACTGAACTACAAAATCACTAGTAATTAACATGGCTTTGTGGTTGGATGAGCGTAGTTTTGAGCATATCAATTGTTCGTTTATAACAATTAATTATAACTAAATTCTCTTAACGTTCAAATAATGATAGTATAAATTATAATTAGATTCTTCTTCTTCTTGGTCGGCCCTGGGAGCTGTGTTGGACAAGCAATCGGTTATCGTTTCTGATCAGTTGTCGGATCACATCACAGGGATGTGAATGATGGGAGAAATTATTACATTTGTCCGGACGTAGTTTTATTTATTTTTTTGAATGGAGGCGTTGGGGTCATCTTCGAAAGGGGACTTGTAGTTTTATAAAAAAAAAATGTGCATAGTCGATGCATTATATTGTATTTATGTTTTTTTTTTTTAATGAATATTCATGCAACATGTAATTTCGGCTTGATGATAAGTGTCAATTTTAAACTCGCTAGCAACTTCATATGCAAGCAGTGGCAGAGCTAGAAATTTTATTCAGAGGGGGTGTAAATTAAAATAGTTCTGTTTGTCGTCTTATCTGAAAGATCAGAATACATTAAAATAGTTATATTTGTTGTTTCATTATCGGAGCCAAGATGAGCTGTAAGATTAAAATTAAAAATGCAAATGACATGACCCTTAGAGCTTATAAGATATAAAAATCTGCCTTTGGTGGTCTTCGTTTTAGGATGAGAGAGGAGCGAAAGGGAAAATAAAAATCGTACACGATGTCGTGAGTCGCGGCTTAGAGAGGAGCAAAGGGAAAAACAAACCTTTGATGTTTTTCATGTGTTTAGAAAAAGATGTTTGTGGCTTCTCTGGATTAATAAATTAGTTTAAAAGGAATAATTATAAAAATTAGAACAGGTTTCCTCGTTGTCGAACTTGTTGCTTTGTTAAGCCACTAAAACAATCAGTTTTAAGTCCCTTTAGGCTTTCAGTTTTAGCTTCAAGTCCCTTTAAGCCGCTAAAAAATCAGATTAATAAATAACTTCAAAAACCTATATTACCCCATTAATTAGGCTTTCTCTCTCTATAGCTGAAGCATTGCACGGTCCAACTAAAAGGTGGATTGAAGAATTGAAATGGAAGAAGCCTGTAATAGATAAAATGAAATGTGAGTATGCGACAAGAGGTTGTACCAAAAGATGCCTATCCTCCTTCTAAGTGATTTTTTTTAGAAGGGGCACATGCACCCCCTCCCTCTAGCCATGTATGTAAGTGAGAAAAGGAAAGCGAGGAAATTAGAAGAAAAACAACATTTTAGATAACGAGGATTTTAGTTTATACATCTCATCAACTTCTAATATTTATTGGAACTCAGTTACTGATGTGGGCATATAAATAAAGAATCATCACAAATAATAAATCCTAAGAGCAAGAACATCAAGAACACTAAATTCTATTAAAACTAAAAAATATCATTCATATATATTTACCTTCTCCAATAGATGTATATAACTAAGCAATAGAAGTTTCTAGAACTCTCTAGAAAATTAGGTATAATGTTCCTAAGCTATACTATTCTTAAATAGTATAGAAATATTAAATCGATTTTTTTATAATATTACATGTTAAATTATAAGGTTGACAAAATTAAAAATAAAGCATTAAATCTTTATGTAAACTAATCCACACCGACACTTCGGTTTTTTTTGGAAATGCTATATGTACCTTAACAGAAGAGATTTGGTGGAGGCAATCATGCAAAAGAGTGAAGTGGATACTTTACAAAAGCAAATGATCGGAAATTTAGTGTTGAAAGACGCGGTTGGCACAATTGAGTGGGCTTTTTAATGCAAGCAAGCAACAACTTTAACTTTAAGATAAAATATTTGCATCCATAACCTTCATAGATCTACACAAATTGTTAGTGTGTCAGCCATGGTGCATTATCTGATTTCATCATTTGAGGGGGGGGGTTGACCCGGCAACCCGTCGGGTTAACCCGAACACAACCCGTTTTTCAATCGGGTCAATTATGGAACCCGAACCCGACCCGTTTTTAAATCAGGTCGGGTCCAACCTGGATTTTCCTGGTCGGGTTTTCGTGTCGTGTCAAATATTGACACCCCTACTATATGCCACCAATCTCTAAACAATTCAACGATTACTTTTTTTCGTTAAAATTTTTCAGAGCGCAAGAGTAAAAAATAAATAAAATTTAAAAATAAAAAGTATATTATGTGCACTCATAAGAACGACTTCAGCCGAGCCCCTCGTACTCGTTTGGTGATGCTGATTTGTTCCATTCGATAACTAAGAAAATTATTCAGGGAAGGGTGAACGGTGTGACACTAATATTAATGTCGCACACTCGCACTGTTCCCCTATATTTTTTTTACAAATATATGTTTAAAAAATATGAAATAAAGTATGTTAAATAATATACATAAAATATTCTTTTTTGTGTTAGAAAATGAAATCCGGTAGGAAAAGAGTTGCTGCATTTTGATATATTATTACATTTTGGAGTGAAAATTGAATTTTTTGGTTAGAGAAGCCCTAAAAAAGAACATCGCTCTCATTGCTTCCCTTACCTCATTTTCTAGCATCAGTCTCCATCAAAACTATATATTATTCAATTATGTAATGTTAGGATTCATTTAAGATAATTATAACTTTTTATAAAGATAATTATAGAGATGATGCGGAGAAATTAACTTTTTCAAAAGTTGTTGTAGAAAAAAAAAGTAACTTCTTAGCATAAAAATTTATTTAAAGTAAAGAAAAAGCTCCGGTCAAATAAAAATTATGATTGCGATCCAAAAAATAAAATATTTAAAAATTTGTTCCAAATGGAGCCTTAATGATGCTAAAAAATATTAGAGATTCATATGTCTAAAAGACTAAAAAATAGCAAGAAATTATGCAATAACTAGTAAGTGTAAATCACTAAATTGTGTAATGAATTAAGATAAGAGAACTTGAACATTATAATTTTTGCGCTTGAACTCATAAGGTTTTGAATGAAAACAAATTATAAGATTTGCAGCACTCGTCCTGTCCAAAAATATAAATATTATAATTAATGTGGGCCTGAATGTCGCAAAATTTCTTTTTATGCCGATGAGAAATTTTATCTCAAATATTTGTATATTAATAATTAAGAAGTACCTCAAATGCAAATCTTAATTGAAAAAAATTACAATATTTGAGCTAATTAAGATAAACACATACATATATAGTCCCTCAGCTCCATATCTTTGAATAATACTAGCTGCCATATTTTCTATATTTCATTATTTCTCATTACTGCTTGCATTGATACACATTTATTATTTTGTTTTATATTATAAAGCATGATTTAAATGCTTTAAAATAATTTTAACTTGACACGTGACAACAACCTCCAATGAAACCTTCTTATTTTTTTCTTCATTAAATAGCAAGGCATGTGCCAAATCCTTCTTATAGTAGGATAAATTATTCTTTGAGAACTATGGTCGCAAATCTACGTCTGAACTCCAATTAAATTAAAACATGCATTTTTTATGAACAAATGACCCGACCCAACCATTTATAAATTTTTTTTTGAAATCATGTCAGCCCATCCTTTTTTTTTTAAAAAAGGAAATAACGAAATCTCCTAAATATTTAGGTTTTTTTGTTGAATAAAACTTTTTTTTGTCTTTTGACAAAGAGAAATGGGAAAGAGCTAATGAAGATAAATATTGGTTTAGAGGAGGACGCTGCATTTTTTGAGTAGATGATGTGCCTAGAAGATGTGGAGTCCGAAAGGCAGTATGTAAATGCCCAGGAAGAGGAAGACTTAAAGTTGAAAAAACTATAGCCGCGGGGGTCAAGGGGCAGCTCCCCAGTGGGGGTTTCCAAGGGCAGCAGCCACAAAATAAATTTTGATTATAAGAGTAATTTTTGAGTAATGCTTATTTTTAGAGTTTGTAAGTCATTTGTACTCCTTGATTTGCAGATCGTTTGTGTTTTGAAGATTGTAGTAAAAACATTGTGTTCATATGCGAGATAGGAAAACACATGCTCTGTAAATTAGTTATGTAAAATTTTCATTGATATTTTTATTCATTTTAAAGCTTTCTCATTTTTTTCACAAATGTGTATTACGAAAACTATATATGAAATAGTTTTTACAGTGTATTTCTATGTATTGTTGTTTTATGCTAGTGTGTATTATCATTGGGGGGCTTATAGTATGCAAGGCTAAGTACAATAAATGTTTCTTATATTTTAAAGCTAATATTTTTATTATTTTTTAATTTCCTTACATAAGTAATTTCATGCTATTTAAATATAATAAAAATTCACATGTTAGTTTTTTTAATATGATAAAAATATAATGTATTTTTTATGTTATATAACTTTTATAAATATTATATAATTAGAATTTATTGGGGACAATTTTTTAACTGCTTTGCTATTAAGACAATAATCATATATATTTGTTTGCTATTGTTTTCTAGATAAAATTGTCTATGTTGGTCCCAAGCCTAGATGTAAGAATTGAGGGGGAAAAAATAAAAAATTAGGCCCCCTCTAAATATATTTTTTTGGCTCCGCCACGGTGTATTATTGTGCATTGATGTCTATTGTTGTTTATTATTATTGTGTACTGTTGTTTATAGTGCTTTTTAAACTCAGTTGAATATTTGATAAGCAAAATATTTAGAATGTTATATGGGTGGGTGTGACCTGCTGAGTTGTGACGGCTCAAATATATTATGCATGTTGTTTCGTTTCAGAAAAGGTGGAAAGATCCCGTTGAGTAATTGAGTATTCAGGATTTGATCTGTCTGAGTATGTATATGTATTTTATGATTTTGTATAGTCTTAACTAGTTATTTAATTATTTTGTTTTAGTTTGTACCCATATAATGTAGTGTTTAAATTTTGGTTGTATATATACTTTGATGATGAATGAAAATAAATAAAATTATTGATGGCTTTATTTTTTACTTATTATAAGTAATTAGAAGCGTTGTTGTTTGTTTCAAATTTAAAACAACTGAAAAGTTCCCCAAAAAAAACTTTAATTTTAGGTTGGCTTGTCCCAATTCAATAGGGTATGACTAGTATGACTGTGGGCCATATTAGATTGGGTTGTGCAACTACAATTCAAGAAATCAAGCTTAAATCATGATACTCACTTTGATAGTCAGAGTTTGTGTCGACGTCATGCATCAATCATATGAGCGATGGGGTGCACTAACTTTGTTAGCGATGATAGTGACAAATTTATTAGTGAGAACGAGCAAAATGATAATGTTTAGAATAATGTAGTTGGGGAACCATAGTTAGAGGACTGCAATAGGATGATGGTGGTTGGAGGATCAAAATCGAGCAAGGAAGGTCAGAGGATAATAATGTGATGGAAGTGATCAAAGTATTGTAGTTGGGTGATTGTTGTCTAAGAATCATAATTGGATGATACTAGTTCAAAAACTATAGTTTGAAAATAATGATTTGAGGGTCCTACTATGGTGATGAAGCCAAGAGGCCCTTAACTTGATGATGATGGCAAGATGACCGTAGCTTGAGTACATTGGTTGGAGAATCATAATAGGGTTATATGGCCAAAGGGTTACGTTGCTCACGAGCATCTAAGGTTCTAAGGATAGATGGAGGATAGTAGTTGGGTTAGAGGATAATAACTGATGATGATTGTAGTGCAACGATAAAATGATGAGGGTTGTCAAGATATGGTGGTGCAGACTTTGGTGAACTCCGACATTTTCAAAATTACTATATTTGAAGTGTTTTACACACTTTTACACCACCTTTCACTTCAAACCACAATTTAGAGAAACCAAATCAAATTGCACAAACCCTACGGGGCTATTTGGTGTTGAATTTGTAGTAGGATTTACGATAAATCCTGCTAAACAATTTCGAGCACCTAGTAAATTCGAAACCCTAGTAAATCCTAAATTTATGGATTTACGACATAAATCTGGAATTTACTAAATCCCATCATTTGGTGAATTTATGGATTTACAGACTATGGGATTTACGACCTTGTGAGCAAGCTAGCTCCCAGCTTGAAGGAGGAGGCGAATATGACTATTTATGCAACGAGCAAGCTCTTGTCTTTACCCTTAATCCATGTATAAAAGCTAGGCTGGATTGCAAAAGTTGAACATGCCCCTAAGCAATTGCAAGGTGATAGCTTGGATGATATTTCCCTACACTTGAAGGCATCAAATGTTATGTGATGAGCAGACAATCGAGGAAAAAGGCAAGGGGAAGATTCATCAGATTAGAAGCTGCTTGTCCTCTACATTCTCTTCCTTTGAACTTGATAATCGTGGTTTGGAAAGGCCTTAGAAGGCTAATGCATGGTATTTAAAAGCTCTATTGGGTGTGGGTTGAATTGGACGTGTTAAATGGGAGAAATTATTACGTGTGGACATCAGACATAGAAGCTGCGAAAGCTACGTCGAGACTCCAATAAAAATATGATGCGTGGACTAAGTATTACCGTGTATTTAGCTTTGTATTAGCTAGTACACAGCAATACACACAATTATACATAGCAATACACAACAACATTGCTGTGTATTGTTGTGTAATTGTATGTATTTGTTGTGTATTTAGTATGTATTAGTTGTGCATTAGCTAATGCACAATAAATACATACCAATACACACAATAATGTCTAGTAATATATAGTAATATACTTGTCCACGCGTCCTAATTTCATTGGAGTATGAACGTAGCTCTACACCCAGCGTCCCAACGTAATAATTTCTCGTTAAATGGATCCTATTTGAAGTCAATTTGAGCATGGGTTGCATCGAGTGAACTAATTATGCTCAGTAAAGTATAATTTAGGATAAATCAAATGATTAAATTAAATTGAATCATTTTGTTTGATTTAGTAATTATTAATATAATAAGTAATAAATAATTAATCTAGCTTTTAGTTTGATAATTAAAAAAAAACTAGCTTCTAATTTAATAATTAATAATAATTAAGCTAGCTCAGAGTTAATACATAAATTAAATTCAAAGCACAATGAATTTAATTTGTTAATAAACTAACCATCTTAAATTTTGAATTATGTTGCCAAATAAATTCTCAAAATTGATCAAGATTTAACATATATCTTGACAAATAATTTTCAAAATTTAGCACCCTAAGAATTTACTAAATTTGGATTTACAGAAATCCCACTAAAATTAAATTGGGAGATTTACATACATACCTATTTATTTCATGCTATTTACACATTTAACACTAAAATTTTGATATTATATGTCTACCAGCTATATAATAAATATAGGTGCATGAAATGAAATATGAAAGTTTATTGGATGCTATGAGTTATAAAAATTAAATATATGAGTGATATATTTTATATGAGTGGTAAAAATGTAATATTAAAATTTTAAATATAAGATATATAAGTAAGGTAAACTAAAGTGATAAAAATATGTAAATCCCCCAATTAAATTCTGGATCTCACTGCCCCACATCATGTCTACTGTGTCGCCACGGCAATTCTTGTTAGGGTTCCTTCGGCCGATCTGATGATTGCTAAGAACAAAATCCATGGAGGTATTATCGGGGTAGAAGTAGCAGAAGCCACAATTGTATTTCATTATCGTCTTTCTCCTTAAGACCGCCTGCAGAAAGGTTACTATTCCAGTCGGTTTGACAAGAAGACTGACCTCGTAGGGAACAACGGTGAACTGTAGCGGTGAATATTTCAATTCATTTTTTTTTTGGAGTTGCCGTAGCCTCAGGAAATGGAGATTGGGTGGCCCACCTTATCCGGTCTTCTCTAAAGTGAGAAGTTTTCAATGACGGCCTCTCATATTTTGGAATATTTTTCTCTTGCTCACCTCCATGGCGTTGCTTAAGAACTCGGCTGCACTTTACAAAGGCCTCTTCTTTAACACCTCCGCTTCTTCTAATCAGGTTCAGATTTTCATACTTTGCAGCTGTATCTTCGTTACATTGATAGATATCATTCCATAATTTCCCCCGTTTTGTTCGTCTCTGCCATTTGTGTGTTCTTTCAGTTGGTATTGCAATGCCCTGCATGCTTCCCTGTGTACTATTATAGGAGGCGAAATTATTCTCCGCAGGCGAGGGCAGAGGTCTCTCCGTCAACCGAACAAGGTATTGCTTGCATTTCCCCATTCTCTCGCTCTCTCCATTTAGTGCCAAATTCTCTAGGTTAGTTGGCGCATTGTAACTCGGCCATTTGATCTATTTGGAATTGGGGGAAAGAAAAGAGGTCTCATTAACTTGTAAAAGTTATCTTTACATTTCAGGAACGGATTTTATCTATTTGATGAAAAAAGTGAATTGTAGTTGTTACTGGTTATTGACATTTCTTGTTTTATGTCTTTTTGCTACCTTTTGGCTTGGTGATTAGTTTGCTTCTATAGCTGGAGTTATTGTTTTTGCCTTTTATTTTTTGGTGGTCGTGATGATGATTTAGAGGGTTTATTTTCAAAAAAAAAAAAAAAAAAAAAAAAAAAAAAAAAAAAAAAAAAAAACTGATTTTTGAAATTTGAAAGGAATCATATATTAGATTTATGATTCATAAATCTTGGCCGGATGTAGTATCTTCTAGCAGTTGCAAGCCTCACAACAAGGGAAAAATTGAATGATGAAAATTGAATTATATAATTCTCTTCAAACAAAGAACCTATTTGTTATAGACAATCATAATTTAGAAAAATAGATTGAATATGTATAGAGGATTTGGCTTTTGCGCACTATTTATAGATACAAAGGTATATAGGAAAGGTAGATGTATTGACACTTATAATAAATGGGGATATTAACAACTGTAATAATTAGTTAAGTAAGCTAATAAGTAAGTGTATAAAAATAGGAAAGTTATTTCAAACTTCAACATGCCTCCTTAAGATAGAGTCTCGAGAGAGGACGCTAATTTTGACATGGAGCTGATCAAGTCGATAATCAGAAAGGGGTTGGATAAGACACATGCAAGTTAATCATCAGAAGACACATGAGATATGAATTTCTCAACTTTTAAGTTTTTTTTTCGAACAAAGTAGAATTTAATGGCAATGTGTTTCATGCACTAGTAAAAACACTGGATTTGCACATAAGTAGTTAGCATAAATATTATTACAATAGAATGTGGGTGACCTAATAGGCAGACAAATGCCTAGTTCATAATATAATGATTGTTATTAGGTCATTTCGACTATGAGTGGGACAATGGTACGACACTCTACTTCATTTGAAGAACCGGCAACAATGTGTTGCTTTTTGGAGCTCTAGGATATAGCATTGTGGCCAAGAAAGATAATGTGAGCACTTGCGGAGGTATGCAGGGATGTTACTTTTTTTTTTTTAACAAAGTAAAATTTAATGGTTAGTCAACATTATAGAAGTTATGAAGAGATGGAGGGGACTGATGATGGGGATGCTGGAGAAATAATCCATGATCAATGATGCCTCAAAGATAGTGGAGGATTCATTTGGTGGCACTTTAATGGATGGCAGTGGATCGATGCATGAACTAAGATAATTTATTAATAGAAAGATAATGTTCATGTGAAATGGTCGGTACTAAAGGTCACAAGCAAGAGAGCAATGTTTTGGTGGCGTTAGTGAACGAAATGCCATCAAGAATGGTGGGCATGCAGTTGGGAGCCATGAATAGTATTGACATCTTTTTCATGATCCATAATTCCATATTAGTCTATTGTAAGATATCTTGAATGTTGTGTTGCAACAAAAGAATACTTTGAGTGAAGGGAATGGCATTGTGAAGAATGTGAAAATATTTGAACTCGTAATAAATGTTGTGAGATTTGTAACATATACACAAAAGCAAACAAAATGCATTTTTAAAATCTCAAAATAAATGAAAAATAACATGTATTTCAATGACAAAAGTTCATCCAAATAATTAAAATTCAAATATTTTTAAATCTGACATGCATCACAACATAACTTTTAACTTCAAATATGTCATCTCGTAGAGCATGCAACTGCCTTGAGAAGCCCATGCAGCTGTCTCAGAAGCTTGCAAATATTTTGAGAAGTGTGCAACTACACAGAGAAGCATACAACAATCTCTAGAAGCGTGTCTTTGCCGCTATAAGCATATAATACTTTGAGAAGCATGTCATTATTTTAAAAGTGTGCAAGTGCACCATGCAAGCATGTTGAAGTCCCCACAAATGCACTAAAAAATGTGCAAATGCTTCATACAAAAATATAAAAATTGAAAGTACACTGTATAAATGCATTGAGAAACATGCAAATGCAACGAGAAGCATGCAAGTGTTGGGAAAATAAATTCAACATAATTTTGAATTTCTATTCTTATAATCAAGTACAGAATTGCGAATAATATTTTGCCTCAAAAGATAAAAGTATTATTTTCAATGGATTCAAATTAAAAAATTCAAATTTTCTCCTAATAATTATAATCGAAAATAATAAAGAATAACATACAATTTTGAGAGATTAAAATGTCATTCAATTATATATCATTTATCAATCACAATAATTAAGATATTTTCATTATTCTCCTATTCAAATCATCCTAGAAAATGACATATAACCCAAAGGACAAAATTATCACTTTGCTAAGGGTTCGAATATGAGAACAAAGATATTTTCAAATTTTAAATTTTGGTCTACGATTTCTCAAAAGATTCTTCCCCAATAAGACTCAATTGAGTTAGGTTGTGCTGCATAATGTGGAGAATAATAATATGGTATTGAGGACTTTATACGTTATATATATATATATATATATATATATAGGAAATGAATGCTTATTGGCACTTGAAATAAATAGGGGATTAGCACCTTTAATAATAAGCAACTTAATATGGAGAAGCAAATATGCACATACAGAAAAAATAGATAAACTATTTCAATTCTCTAATATTTATCACTTTAAGGAGGCAATGCCTTGATGAAAAAGGAATCACACATTTGTATTTTTTACCCGTACTTTATGCTCTTTGTGTGTGTTGACCTACTATTCTTTTTTGGGCTTTTTTTATTGATATCCCATATACATCAGTCCATGTTAACCATAATTTTGTTTTTATATACATGCAAGCACATGTTTCAACTGGAATGCCCTCTTCATCAGACTTGGTACTCCACATATTTCTTTTAAACATGCAAACACGTGCTCTAACTTGAATGACCTCTTTTGTGGCACGACAAACACATTTATGATTAGAGTATGGCTCTCGTGGTCTCTGAGTGCTTCACCATCGACCTGCGTGGGTTAGGTGGAATTCATCCAGTTGGGTGAGGCATGGTTGAGTTCTAGGGTTCGTTTTAAGATTTATGTAGCCTGGTTGAGTTAAGCTCTCGGAGGGAGACTAGGGTTTCATTTGGGACGACTTTCAAACTGTTTTTTGAAACAGTTTTTTAGTACAAATTTTTTTATTTTTTATTAAAAAACTGCTTTAAGAAGTAGTAAGAAAACCATCCCAAACAAAGCCTAGGTCTCATAGCTTGATGAGGGACCTCTAGGGCCAGGCTCAGATCAGCGGAGAGCTTGTTTCACAACTAGAATTGTTGTTTTCGTTGAAATGTGAACTTGCATGTTTAAGATAAAACTATGTGGCACCAATTCTCAGAAGTCCCTGGGATTGTATATCCTTAGCATAAAAAATTAAGATGAAGTTGTTTCTTGGATAATATGTGCTTATTTGCTTTCAGGTTGTTTCTTGGAGAGACTCAGGAGGCGTCAGGTGCTTTCACTAGGAGCAATGGCTGCCTGCATTCCACTTTACCAGGCCAATCCTGCATCTCGTGAGTACTTGCTGTCATTTTGTCAAAAACCATTGCGAGAAACATCAAAAGCTTCTTGCCAATGCATATCATGTAGAGTTTCCTTGAATGATGTTGGATTTCCTAAATGAATTCATTTGGCATGTTTCAGTTGCAGCAGAGGTAAAAAAAGGATTTCAATTTGTCTCAGATACGAAGGATGGATACTCGTTCCTGTATCCTTTTGGATGGCAGGTATTTACCATTTTTCATACTCTGAGATTTTCATACAATCTAAACTAATGTTCTTTTAGCTACTCCGCATTTAACTATAGTTGTATGGGCTCTATTGAAGAGGTACCTGTTGACAGTTATAATTTCTTATAGATATCAACTGCTCATCCCAGGAAGTTGTTGTCCAAGGTCAGGACAAGGTTTTTAAAGACGTGATTGAACCCTTAGAAAGTGTCAGCGTTAACATGGTCCCAACTAGCAAACAAGATGTCCGAGAGCTTGGATCTCCACAAGAGGTTAGCATTGAAACAACTACTATTAATCATTTTTTTTGGTTTTATAAAAGAAGTTTACTTTGTTTGAGTGGATGTAGGGGAATTTACCCCCCTCAATAGATTCACCACTTTGTTTGTTAGGCCCATCAACAAATCTAGCAATAGTTATCTCATTTAATAGGGTGTTATTGACAGTCTTATCTGTTAACTATAAAAGCGTTATAAATATGCCTGTGATATCTTAAATAATATGTAAAGGTTGCTTTGCATTGTTAATGCATCCCAAAAACTTATTAGTTCTGAATTAGTCTCGATACTTATACCTAGAACACCAAGATCTATGCTTCTATGATCCTTTTGTAACAGTTATAAAGCAAGTCAATGCTCCCTCTTAATCTACACTGGCAACTCACTTCAATATCCATGATGACCCCAATCAAGCCTAAGGTAATCAATGTTAATCTCAAGGCTTCAATACAGATACGATTGTCCAAATCAGATCACTTGAATATGCATCTTAAATGCATCAAATTGCCTGATTCTAATCTCCAAGATCACAAATCTCACAGCCCAAAAGCGCATTCTTTTGTCTATTAGCCCAGGGTATGTTTGTCCAGTTCCAATCTTAAAGACAAGTGTTTTGATCTTTAGTCTTTTGTTCAATTCAAGGGTCAAAATACTCCTTAATAGAGGCATTTTTAAGCCGATTTGGATCTTTGAGATAAAGTATCTCCTCCATCCATTTCCCATATTGCCAAAAGTAACAAACTTCCATCTGCCCAAACAACTCATTAGGTCATTACGGGCCGATGCGTTGAGTTGGAGATGTTGAGTAGATCATTGAATCATTAAAAATAGAGGAGGTGGTGGGACATTAGTCTGATAGTGTGATGCCGCCGCACGAGTATTCTTGAGATGACATGTCACAACCCAAGCCGACATCACTCGTATATAGAACAGGTCACATCGTGACTGATGTCGACATGACAATTTCTAAGATTTATTTGGAAGTAATTTCATCATTTCTTCTTCTTTTTTTTTTTAAATAGAAACACATAACCACAAAATATCAAATTTAATGCATAGAAAAATAGACTGATAAGCAATTTCAATTTATCTTTAAAAAACTATATAGTCAAAATGTCCATTAGAAATACAATCATTGATTTTTGGTACAAAATCCTCGTATGCTCATCTGAAATATACCATGATTGTCAAAAGAATATACTAACAGAAAAATATATCTAGCACCTGAAATCTTCAACCTCTATCTATTCAATCTACCTTTTTACACTTTTTCAGACATGAAATTAACACTTGTAGAAAGAGTATGAATGAGCAAATCACGGCTTAGTAGGTTACATGAAATCGACTTAAATTTTTAATCATAAACAAAACAATAAATAAATTATATCATCACAAAAATTAGGGGTATCAATATTTGACCTGACCTGGACTCAACTCGAAAATTTTTTGGGTTCGGGTCAACCTGTTTGGAAAATGGGTCGGGTATGGGTTCGGATTTCTGATCCGTTTTTAAAATCGGGCCAGGTTCGGTTTGACCCGATAACCTGACGAAGTTGACTCAGATCCCGCCCGCACCGCATCCCTCTTGTGTCCCGCACCCGCGGCCTGTTCGCGCGTGCTGACCCAGCGTCCCGCATCTATGGCTTGCTTCGCTCGCTCGCTCGCACTGCCAGCCTCGCTTGCGCGCGTTGCCAGCTTGACACCTGCGATCTTCCTCGCCCACGCTCGACCTCGCATCCCGTGCCACGCATCCCGGGCTTACTCGCTCGTCTTCTCTACGCCCGTGTTAGCATGTCAGGTCAGGTCGTTACAATGCTCTCACAGAATTTTCACACACAGAACTTCTTTGGACTAAGTGATTAACTTCAAACAAAAAAATAACATAGAACATTCATAGAATTTAGAAATGTAGAATTTTGAGCATGCCAATTTTACCATACCAGTCCAAGTGATTACAGATTATTCTGATTATTGCTGCACTGGGCCTTATAATATTCTCTCAGAAAAATATCATTATCGACATTTTAGTATACAAATCAGTCAAATAGATCATGATAAAGCTGTCTCATTTCAATTTTTTTTTTCCGAAATGCTTCTCTATATGATATGTGCCTCCATCATATCTTTACCATTAGAATCTGTTTATTTTTTAACTACTTGACATCATAAGCCAGAATACGATCAGGTTTTTCTTTGTAACTCATATTAGGCTATACTTCTATTTCATTTTTTGAGACTATTTTCAACATCAGTAACACATTTTCTCATAGGCAAAATGTGAAATAAATCATGTATTTCAGACATGATTTTGCAATTGTAAATGATAAACAAAATTTTCAATTTTCTCTATCACTTCAAAAGGTCTAATATACCTAGGACTAAAATTTATTTTTCTACAAAATTTGTTTACACCTTTCATATGGTTGAATTTCACTTACATGAAATTACCAATTTGAAACTATATAGAATGATGCTTTAATCATTATATTTCCTTTTTATATCTTGAGCTAATTTCAATCCATCTCGAATAAATTTAATCTTTTCAGTGGCATCATCATTAGAGTTCGCCCTAACCGTCTTCTTTCTTCTATATCTACCCAAGACAAAAGTAATATGCCCTACGATTATACAGAGCCTCATATGATATCATTCCAATGCTATATTGGAAGATGTTATTGTAAGTAAATTCAATCAATTGAATTTAATCTTCCCAAGTTTTACCAAAATCAAGTGCACACAATCTTAGTAAATCTTCTAATACTTAAATAGTCCTTTTCAGTTTGACTATTTGTTTGCAGATCAAAAGTAGTACTACACAATCTAGATCCCAATCCTTCATGGATACCTCTTCATAATCCCGAAGTAAATCTAGCATCATGATTAGAAACAAACACCTTCAGTATCTTATATAATCTAACATTCTCATACACATAAATTTATATAACTTTTCTGTGGAATCAATGTCTTATCAGAAGAATGTGCAAATTTTGTTAATAGATCAACCATGGCCCAGACTGCATTACGACCTTGTCTAAATCTCAGAATTCCAATAGTGAAGTTCATAATGATCTCTTTCCACTTTCACTTAGGACTGGGTAAAAACTGTTGTAAACCACTTGGGCGCTGATATTCCACTTTCACTATTTGACAAGCTTCACATTTAAAAACAAAAAATAAGCTACCTCTCTATTCAATCTAGGCCACTAAAGCATTGATTTTAGATCAATATACATTTTATTGCTCTAAGGGTGATTTGTATATCTTGAATGATGTGCTTCGTTCAAAATTTCTTTCCTTAACCTTGCACCATTAGGAACACATAATCGATCTTTACATTTTAACACCACTATCATCTTCTTGAAGCTCAGGTCTTCTTCCAGACTGAATAGAATCTATCAATTTTGTATACTCATCAGATTTTGAGCTAGCTTCTTGAATCCTTTTTGGTAGAGTAGGTTGTACAATAATTTGATTGAGCACATCAGAATCCATATCAGCTGATCTGAACACTTCTAATTCTAATTATTTCATATCATGAATCAGAGAAGCATAAGATGTAATCATACAATCAATCGCTTATACATATTTCCTATTTATAGCATTTGCTACAAGATTAATCTTATTTGGCTTATACTAAATGCTGCGATCATAATCTTTAATTAATTCTAGCCATCTCTTTTGTCTCAGATTTTACTCTTTCTGAGTGAAAATATATTTTAAATTGGCGGTCAATGAAAATTTCACATCTAATACCATGTAGATAGGGCCTTTAAATCTTCAATGCAATGATAATAGTTGCTAGTTTCAGATCATGAGTAGGATGATTTTTTTCTTTTTTTTGTGGCTTTAACTCTCTAAATGCATAAGCAATCTCCTTACCATGTAGTATTAGTACCCATTTCAAGTTAGGGGTGCAACGAGTCGAGTCAAGCTAAGCTTATTTATTTTCTTACTAAGCTAGAGCTCGACTCGTTAAAAAATTTATTGGCACGGTCTCGTCTCGATTGCTCGAGCTTATTTGGAAAGTTTGAGCTTGACTCGATTGTTGAACTCGATTTCTTTGGCATGGTCTCGACTCGATTGCTCGAGCTTATTTGGAAAGTTTGAGCTTAACTCGATTGTTGAACTCGATTCCTTAGTTTTAAATTAATTTTTTTTGTTTATTATTTTAAAATTTGTATTTCTAATATATTATTAATTTAAAAAGATTAAAATATATTATATAATAATAATTTAAATTAATTTTTAAATATACTTTTAAATTAATTGAGCAGTTCAACGGGCTTTTGAGCCTAGCCAGACTAAGCTTGAGCTCGAGCTTGTTTAATAAATGCACTCTAGTTAGGCTCGAGATCGAACTCGCGACTCGATGATCTCAACTCTTGAGCTCGTTAGCCAGTTTGGCTCACTTACACCCCTATTCCAAACCCTTCAATGACTCGTCAGTGAACATCTTAAATCCTTAAGTATCAACTTAAGGTTCAAATTTACTTAAATTTTAATGGCCTAATTTAAGATTTTAATCTTTTCAAAAGAAAATAAAATGCTACAGTTGGAGAGGGGTTGCTTGTGGATATCCTTCTAATGAGGGAGCAGTTGAAACTAAACGGTAGGGTAGTGATAGAGGGCACACCAAGACCCCCAATTAGTTTAGGCTTGCAAATATTAACCCACGATACAATGTGAAGTTTTGTTGTAGCAGCACAGTCGCCAAAATGCAGAAATTTGGATGAAATCTTCTTAATATGCTTGATGCTTGCTTTAGGGAGAATAGAACCTCTTATCTAGTAAGCTATAGAATTTAGTATAGTGAATTTTAAAAACTGCAAACAACCTACAAAGGAAAGCAAATTAGCTTTGCAACTAGACATCTTGCAAGTGATGGATTCAAGGAGTGGTGAGAAATCAGAGTTTTTGTATGGTTTGAGAGAAATTGGTATGCCTAAGTAAGTGACATATTGGCTATGATAGGTGAGGTTCAAAGTAGAGCAGATGGAGACTGCATTTTGGATGTTTCTGGTGAGGATAATGGAGCTTTTATCATAATTCACACGAAGATCCGAAGCATTTGCAAAAGAATTCGGGATCTGATTCATAATGCCACAGTTTCCGACATCAGCTTTTTCAAAAATAAGGAAATCGTCTGCTTAAAGCAAGTGGGATAATTTAAAACCATCAATAGAGATCCCATCAAAATTCCTTACATCATGAAGGGAGGATAAGGCGTTCATCACAAAACAAAAGAGGTAAGGGCCGAAAGGGCAACCTGCCTGAGGTCAGATGATGAAGGAAAAAACCTTCAAGGGCGATCAATGGTAATAGACTAGTAAACATACGAGATACACGCTTTTACCCATTGAATGAACACTGGAGGAATGCCTTTTTGTTTCAACCTTGCAAGCAAAATCTCTCTAGAAATCGTATCGAAAGCTTTTGTTATGTCAAATTTAACACAAAAGGCTTGAATATTCCCTCTCTTGTTAAAGTTGGACAGGAGCTCTTTAGTGAGAATAACATTATCAATTGAGATTCTATATATGCTCTTTTTCCATCAACCTTACGTATTACCAACTATTTTTTTTATTTTTTATTTTGAATTATTTACCCTACTCTCTTCACCATTTAGCTAAGTACAACACCTATTTTTTAGCATTCTCCTCTTTGAATAATAAATATGAAATGATTTTAAATAATAAGATATTTATTTTAATTTCTCATAAAATAAGAAATACTTTTAATTTTATTAAATATTTTAAAATCAATTGAAAAAGAAATGTTCACATGGTATTATAGATTGTTAGTTGAAAATTAGAAATTGATTTTTTTGTAAAAGTAAAAAAATAAAATTACAAAAAATCATAGAAAAATTAAATAGAATTAGGAAAATAAAATTTGCAATAATTACCTATTAAGTTATTTAAGTAGTATATTTTAAAAATAAAAATGAAGAGATAGATTAAGTTAAGTCATTTATATATTATATTTTTAAAATTAAAGTTTATTATTCATGGCACTTATTTGAAATATGCGTGATTTTTTATTTCTTTTAATTTGACACAAATTATACAATACATGTCAGACTTGTGACAATAAGTGCGCGCATCCGGCGCAACATGCTTCGTTATTACGTTGTGTTGATGTATTATAGATATAATTTGATGGTTTTAATTTTTACTTGTCATCATTTATGTTTTATTTATATGCTACAAAATGTTGGGTGGGAAGTAAAATAGTAAAAGGCCAAAAAGAAACTTACCGGTTACCACTTCTCCCAAGGTCCCCACTTTTGCAGCTTAAAAAAAAAAAAACTTTAAGTTATTTCCATCTTATCATCTCTTTTAACATATCTTAGCTTTCACATCATCGAGAAATTATTGAGCGGACGTCGAACTCCGTTCATAGATTAATCAGAATGCGCCACGCACCCCTTGCTCGGTACCCGGCTCAGTATTGCTGACGTGGCACATTCTGATTGGTCTACGAACAATAAACCGCATTCGACGTCCGCACAAAATAATTTCTTCACATCATCATTCTTCCACTCCCTTTTCCCATCAACCTCATATGCTGCCTCTTTTTTTTTTTCTTTTGCATTATTTATCCTAGTATCTTCTCCATCATTGAAGTGTAACTTCTATTTTTTTCTCCTCTATTTGAATAGTGAATCTGACTTTGTTTAATGATTTGATTGTTTTAATTTTGACTTGCCAATATTCTTTATTTGTGACTTTTGTTTAATTTAAGTTTACTCGGTTATTCTATAAACTTGTTTATTTTAATAATATTACTTTGAGATAAGTAGATATTACCTAACTTGTGTTAATATGATCAGATTTTGCTTTGTTATATAAATGAGACTAATTGATAATGATAACAACTTATATTTTATTAAATATAGAAAATTCTTATTTTTAATATTTCTTTAATTTTATATCCCAATAATATATTCTAATATTTTTTAAATATATTGATTTTAAAAAATAATATCATTATAATATACTTAATATTTTAAATATATAAATTTAAAATGATGAAGCCTACACTTGCACTTCGAAACTTATGCGTCATTCTACCTACTGAAGGAAATTATATTGAGACAGAATGCTTGTTTTTATTAATTTGTGCAGAAGCCTGCTAAATAAATTTACTAGTGCTTAATTTTAACGCCTCAACATTATTATTTTGTCTTGTGAGCTACATGACTTCTGATCTAGTAGCATTTTTATAATAGGTTGCTGATGCTTTGATAAAAAGGGTGTTGGCTCCACCCTCACAGAAAATAAAGTTGGTGGAGGCATCAGAGGTTAATATTCTTTTTATTATGTTATGTTAGAAGTTTAGCTGATATGGAAGTTTCTTACTCTTTGTCATCTTATTTCATTTGGTGTTGCTAGAATAGGTAAACTGCATTATTTTATATACTTTCATCTAGAATGGTTCATCTTTGCATGTGGCATGTGTTTATTTATGAAAATTACTTCTCTAGAAGCTTGTTTATGCTTCTGAAGTTATAGCTTAAATTTGTAATGCTAATGGAAGGAGTATGCATCACCTGTATTCTTCATCACTTACAGACTATTTTATATTGTATTTTCTTCATGAAAGTTTTTATAAATTACAGTAATGCGTGGGCCTTAGCATATATGATTTGGTTACACATTTTTAAACTATAGGAGTGCCAAGAGTCTCAAGCTTTAATCATAATGTTGCGCTTGATTTTTCTAGCTTATGGTAAAATGGCCTTACGCTTAGTTTGTTGTAGTATAATGTTGTTTGTTTTATATATGAGAAAGGCGTGTTAGAATTTATATTATAATTAAATTTCAGACCATCAAACTCTAGGCTTAAACTTTTAGGTTTATTGGTTATCAAGGAGGTCAAAGGTTTAAAGAAAGTAGCTATTTTTCTAATTTTTATAAGGTATAAATGTAGAAAATTTGCAACATTATCAAGCATACTTAATTTGTGGAGCAATTATTATGTGCGGACATCGGATGATTCGAAGGCCAACTAGAATGTGCCACGTCACCTGGTACACAATGGTACCCAGCACTGTTACTTGAAAAAAAGGTGACGTCGCACGTTTTGATTGGCCTCTAAATGGCATCCGATGTCCGCACAAAATAATTTATCGAGGGACATTATCCAAAAATTTGCAACTCTATTTTTCAAAAATGTTTTTTCCGCTTTTGTTTTATCCACCACTCACCGACTACATTATCAAGCATACTTTATTGTTTGAATGAAGAAATCCATCCGAACCATAATAATTCAATCTCGGCTTTAATGATTATCTTCTATGATGCGTTGGTTAGGCCAATTGGTGGAATATGCTTTACATCTTTAAATCCAGCTTACTTAGGATCATAAACCCAGGTTTAATTCTAGCCTATCAATCTAAAGCATGATCAATTGAATATATCAAAATGTCAAAACTATTTAGAGTAGAGGAAGTAGGAGAGTATGTGTGGGTCTATTTATTCAAGGTTCAAGCTTCTCAACTATCTAATTATGGTCTTTAATCATATATTCTTGTTTTTAGTCTTTTTTGTGTTACTTCATCTACATCTTGATTTCAAACATGAGACAATATTTTGAAATTTAAAACTAATCCTGACCGTTCTTAGGATTTGTTTGGGACGGCTTTCTTATCGCTTCTTAAAACAATCTTTTTAGGTAAAAAATAAAATTTTAATACTAGAAAGTTGTTTTAAGAAGCAATAAAAAAGCCGTCCCATACTTCATTTGGAATAGCTTTTTTGTTACTTTCTAGTAAAAAAATTTCTTGAATTAGAAATTTTTGTATTAGAAAGCCATTTTAAAAAGCAACAAGAAAATCGTCCCAAACGAAGCCTTAGTCTATTTAGGAGTTATATGCTATTTGAGGTACTAGTTACCATGGAGCTTACTTCAAGCTGTTTTGGTTTTGCACAGCATGATGCGGATGGGAAAGCATATTACACGTTCGAGTTTACAGCTCAAGCACCAAACTTCACCAGACATGCTCTCGGTGCAATTGTTATTGCAAATGGTACAAATTTTTTTTCTTGTGCTAGAAACCTTTATCTCAGCACCTTAAGATCAGATTCTCATTTTCCTGATTACCTCACAGTCAATCGCCATTAAAAGGATTTATTATTCTGTGCGGAGTCCAGAGGGCGTCCGGAGATCAATAAAAATGCGTCACGTCATCCCAAAAATGTACAGTGCTCGGTACCGAGCTCGCTACCCACCTTCGGTTCTGCTCGGTACCGAGCTCGCTACCCACCCTCGGTTCCGCTCGGTACCGAGCGCTTAACCGGACTGGAGAACCGTCCGGTGTCTGCACAGAATAAAAGCTCCATTAAAAGAGTCAGTAGCCATTGCTTTAACTGTACTAAGAACTGTTTTTCCTAGCAGGCAAGTTCTACACCCTGACTACTGGTGCTAATGAGAGAAGATGGGAGAAGATGAAAGATAGGTTGCATACTGTTGTAGATTCCTTCAAAATCGATAAATTATAGTGAGTGACATTATTGCTGCAACTGAGAAAGAAGCTTTGGCTCTGCCACCACAACAGATTTTTTTCTCTGCTTCATTGTTTTATTCAACAAATGATCTTCTCATCCAACCATCATCCCTATTTGATGCAGCCTACATTGAAATATTGCTTGTATTTCTCTGTTTATTTATGATCACTGGCATGAATACTTTACAGGACTCGTTTCTGTAAGAACTCCATCAATCACACAATCTTATTGTTTATGGCTCCGGGATTGGAGGCTGGAGTAGCTTAATCAGATATATAATTATAGGATTAAAGAATAACGCTAAATTAGTCAAAAAAATCTTAGAAATGAATGGACAATTAAGGAATTTTAGATAGATACTTTCATGTCATATATTTAGACACTCACCTTGATTTGTTGGTTGAGAACTTATGCTACAAACTAAGAGGTCCTGTGTTCGAGTCTTGTGTATGCGAGGTGTGTATGAGTCTGACTTAATTGACTTAAATATGAAAAAAAAGTCATATATTTAGAAATAAAAAACGTACAAATAACATAGTCGATTTACACATTTTTGTGATATATAGTAGAGAAGTTTTACACATTATTTTTGTGATATATAGTAGAGAAGTAATTTTGGAAGACATGTTAGGATCAGGGCTCTGAAAATTAGATCGGACTGGTCGGTTCAACCGTGAACCGGTTTGAAGGTTGGTCCTGTTCAACATGAAAAGTAGCTTTGCTTCAAACTGGCCGGTTTTGACAAGAACCATCGGTTCAAACTTTTTATTTAATTAACTAAATAAATTAGTTAATATTAAACTTAATCAATTAATATAAAATTCTTAAATTTGTATTAATATAAAGTATAAACTGTCGATTTCAGCAAGAACCATTGGTTTAATTTTTTATTTAAATAATTAAACAAATTAGTTAATATTAAATAAATTATAAACTTAATCAATAAATATTAATATTAATATAAAACTCTTAAATTTGTATTAATCACATGATTAATTTTAACATTCTCATATTGCTCTATTACTCCATATGAGCTCATATCATGAGTAAAAATAAAAAGCTATATAATTTATACAAATTAAAAATTCACATGTGATGTGGGATTAAATCATACGGAACAAAAAAAGTTATATTTAATTTCATGTATATGATACATTTTTCTAGCAGTTTTTTAATTAATTCTTATAATATTTAATAATATTTAATTTTTTAGTTTGTCTTACAAAAATATATATGAGTAAGTTTGACTCATGAGTTAGTTTAAGCTCAGCTTGATAAAGGACTTATGATTGAGCTCAATAAGTTAACGAGCAAACTTGAGCTAGCCTCGCCTCTCCTCAATTTGCTCGTGAGCTTGCAAGCTGACCAATTTAAATTTATCAATAAAAAATATATTTAAAATACATTATGATTTAAATCTCATCTTATTATATCAAGTGATTATTTATTATTTATGTTATAATTTTAATTTTTTTTTTTAAGATTGGAGTAGCTCCGATAGAGATAGGATACGAAATGAGCATATACGTGAAAAGGTTGGAGTAGCTCCAGTAGAAGATAATTATAATTTTTTTTTATCATTTTATCTCTTTATAATTGATTAATAAGGCTCAAGCTAAAGTTAGGAGTAATATTCAATTAAAACTCATTTAAAAATAAATTTAGTGTTAAATTTATCTTATTAAAATTTAACTAGAATAGGCTGATATTAAAATTTTCTTCTCTACATTATTCATAAGCTTAATACATTATTTTCTTAATTAACCACTCCCAAGTAACACAAAGCCACAAATTAAACTATTTGCCCAATAAAAAGAAAGTATTCCATGAAAAGCCAAAAGCTTATCAATATTCAACTATACCACCTATCACCAAACCGAAAACCCATATTCATGTCTTGGCCCTGCCCATAGAACCCGCCGACCGGAACTGGTGTCAAATACAACCCATTATACCCACCCAAATACCCACCTCCATAGCCCAACCGTGGCGGAACGCCACCCCTTGCCACCTTTGTATCCATGCAGAGAATCTCGAGCTCCTCGCGCCTGTTCGCAACGTTTCTTCGCAACTCCTCGAGCCGCTTCTGGAAGCTCTCTAGCTCCTCTACACCCATTTCATGCACCTCCACATCGCACGGCAGACCGGAACCTCCCCGCTGGGCCGCAACCTCTGCCTCCAACTCCGCTCTTATTCTCCTCGCCTCCTCCAACTTCTCCGTCAACCCTGCATATAACTTCTAAAAAATTAGTTTGATTTGTTTGTTAAACCACTTGACTTGCTAAAGATCTTGCACTTTATTGAGATTTTATTTTGGACAGGTTATAATTTTTAATTGATCGTAAATAAATTATACGTTAAAAAGTTGCTTTTTATGGCAACTTTAAAAAAAATTATTTTTTCATAATAATTTTGTAATCATATTTATAAAAAATAGAAGAGTCCCAAAGGAAATCGAAGTTTTTAAACTTTAACATTTAATCGTTCAAAATAATAATAATAATAAATCAAATTGTTAATGTGGCATTGAAACTAAAAATCTGCCGTTACCCAATTTGAACTATGGAACCTAATTTGAGCATATGGCATTGAAACTAATAAAAAATAAAAATAAAAAATAGATTCAATCCAAATTATCCAAAATAATATGCTGCTGAAATTAACTAACTGCACATTTATAATTAGCATGGTAATTACACAAAAGGAAAATAATTAACTCAGCATATCAACATATCTTGATCAAATTTTCTATCATAATAGCTTTAAAACCATCTGATTTATAATTTAATGTAATATATATTTTAATTAATGTATCATTTATTACACTCATTTAAATTAAATTTAATATAAATTTTGGTTAAATTTTAATTAAAATATTCTAATAACAAATTTTCTAAAATATAAAAATAAGTATATTTCCAAAAAAACTATAATTTTAAAAAATTTGACTAAAATCAAAATCTAACTTTTTATTTATTTATTTTTTTTATTTTAGTACTCACCTGCGTGCTCTTGATTTAGTTGAAGCAATTTTTGACCTTCAACGAACATCCCACACAATGGCCCCACCACCATTTCGCCGCCGCCGCCGCCGCCGCCGCCGAGGAATCGTTTCGTTACATAGTCAAGCGAAGGGTGGCCGAACGAGAAAGGTTTACCTGCCGGTGAGAACACCACTATACCAATCTCCGCCCCGCATAGAATAGAAAGCTCCGTAGCCTTCTTGAACAAGCCCGCCCGCCGCTTCGAAAAACAAACCTGTCTAGCCTCCTCATTCTCTATCCTCTTCATGGCAATCTTTTGCCTTCCCATGCTCTGCCTCTTCTTCCTCACCATCAACATCTAAAAAATAGAAAATAATCATAAGCTAATAATATTAATTGAAGCTTCGTTTATGATAACTTTCTCGTAATTTTTATTTGGCTAATCCTTTTTTTATTACTTTTAAAAAAATCTTCCTACTAAGAAACTACTTTTTACGATAATTTTCAAAAACTATTTTCTCTTGAACAATTTACAAAATAGTAAGAAAGTTTCTCAAATGAAAGATGAATGATTTCGTGTGGACACCGGACAAGCAGCTCCCCGTCCGGTTCGTCTCTATGAAACTACGTTTTTACTATTCACAGAAACAAAACTGAACGGTTATTCTCGTCCGATGTCCTCACAAAATAATCTCTCCAAATGAAACTTTAGTTTTCGAGAAGAAAAGAGAAGATAACGAAGAGAAAAGAAATAAAAGAACAAAAAATCCATGCCTTGTATAATAGTGGAGGTGGTGGAGCTTGGGGAGAAGTCAGAAGCGTTTGTGGGGCTTTTGTCCTTTTATAACGTGGTTTCCATAAGGGCTGAAGATTTGAATAAGAGCAATTATGGAGTAATTAAGTATGAGTGAATCAATCAAATATACAAAAAATTATTTCTCATATCAATAGAGAGTTGTCCGCAATTAATGGCTTTCTGTGAAAGGAAACTGAGGCCGGCTTGTGTTTATATGCTGCCTTTTATGATCTGCTTTGGGATTTTAAAATCATTCGATTATTAGATGGCAGGTTAATTTTTTTAGTAGTGATAGATTTTAAAATCGTTCGATCTGCTTTAGGATTGATGCAATATAAATTTTTTATATAATATAATTATACTCGTATCAAAGCAGGTAAAAAGATTTTAAAATTAATCATGATTATATTTTGATAACGAAATATTGACATTTAAGACTTGCTTTAAAGTTGTTCGTTTTGCATTTTGATTGAAACGAATTTCTTACTGTTTCTTAAAATATCTTTTTAGTATAATATTAGAAAGTTGTTTCTTAAAAGAATTTTTAAGTATAAAAATTGTAATTTTTGTACTAAAAAGTTGTTTTAAGCAGTAAAAAAGTCATCCCATATGAAGCCTTAGTAATTTTAGTGCAAATCATGTTTCATTTGGGTTAGCTTTCTTATTGCTTTTAAAACAACTTTTTAGTACAAAGTTAATAAGAAAGTTGTCCCAAATGAAACTTTTAAGCTCGTTTCGATTTGTTTTATATTGAAATATCTTAATATAATTTTTTTCTTAAAGACTAGCATGATATGAATTTAAAAATTATAATTAAAATTTAGATTGCACTCATCTCAAAATAAATTTAAAGATTCGTAAGGCTATTATGATAAAAATATATCCTACAATTCTTTTAAAATAAAAATCTATTTAAAGTGGCCATAAATTTTGTGTAAAAATTGTGATAAAATTGACAAGAGAAAATTATTCTGAATAAAAATTTAGATTCGTAAGGCTATTATGATAAAAATATATCCTACAATTCTTTTAAAATAAAAATCTATTTAAAGTGGCCATAAATTTTGTGTAAAAATTGTGATAAAATTGACAAGAGAAAATTATTCTGTTTAGGGATGTTATGGACCTATGGACATTATAAATATTTTTAAAAATAATAATTTTTTATAACTATGTCACTAATAAATTTAATAATAAAAGAAAATTTTCATCATAAGAAAATTTTAAAGATGACAAAATCTTAGCCAAATAAATATATGATCAAGATTTAAAAATAATATAATAAAAAAGATGTCTCAAATTGACTCTAAATATTATTATTGAGGTATTGAGATAATGTCTGATAAAATAATTACTTTCAATAAGAAATTAATCTTATAAATTTTTAAATCTGGAAAATAAATTTCAAATTTTGTGTACAACAGTGTCACCTGACAACATAATTGCAATCAAACTTTTGTGTGTATATGTTAGGTTACTT